CAGAAGTTCTTGGATGACAACGTCCCGGCCTCTGACGCCGATCTTCTGAGGACCACCCTGGCGCCTCTTACCGACGTGCTCGACCTCTACGCCGAGGGCCCCAAGGTTCGGGAGCTGAACGTCATGGCCGACCTGCTCACCACGTACGCTGATGTGGAACGCCTCTTTTCTGGGCGCCGCCTGCAGGACGAGGAAGTCATCCTCAAGCTGCGAGACGAGAACAAGGAGGACATCCCCAAGGTCATCCAGACCGTCCTCTCCCACAGCAAGGTCGCAGCGAAGAACTCTCTCGTCCTCGCCATCCTTGACGAGTACCGCCCCAATATGCCCAACACTGGCAATGTCGCCAAGTACCTGCGCCCTGTTCTCCGCAAGATGGCCGACCTGGAGTCTCGCCAGACGGCCAAGGTGTCTCTCAAGGCACGTGAGATCCTCATCCAGTGCGCGCTGCCCTCTCTCGAGGAGCGGACCGCACAGATGGAGCACATTCTTCGCTCCTCGGTCGTTGAGTCTCGCTATGGTGAGACCGGCTGGGATCACCGTGAGCCAAGCCTGGACGTCATCAAGGAGGTTGTAGACTCTAAGTACACCGTCTTCGATGTCTTGACATCCTTCTTCGCCCACGAGGACCCCTGGGTGTCTCTGGCTGCTCTCGAGGTGTACGTCCGCCGCGCCTACAGGGCCTACATGCTGAAGAAGATTGAGTACCACACCGATGAGACGGACACCCCTTCTTTCGTCTCTTGGGATTTCGCACTTCGCAAGATTGGTCAGTCCGAGTTCGGGCTTCCTCTTCAGTCGGCCATTGCCTCGTCCCCAGCCACTCCCATCGACAGCAGCTTCAAGCGGATTCACTCCATCAGCGACATGTCGTACCTCACACAGAAGACCTCGGAGGAGCCCATCCGCAAGGGTGTCATCGTTCCTTGCAGGTATATTGACGATGCTGAGGACCTGATGTCAAAGGCTCTCGAGACTCTCCCGATCAGCGGAGGTCTGAAGAAGAAGAACCCCAGCGGACTCATCCCTGACCTCAGCGGCAAACGCCGCCCCGCCATGCCTCCCAAGCTGGGCGACACTGACGAGCTCTCTGCCGTTGTCAACGTTGCCATTCGGGATGCTGAGGGTCGCAGCGATGACGAGGTTTTGAAGGATATTCTGCCCCTTGTGCATCAGTTCAAGGATGAGCTCTTCGCCCGCCGCGTCCGCCGTCTCACTTTCGTCTGCGGCCGCAATGACGGCTCTTACCCTGGGTACTACACATTCCGTGGCCCAGAGTACATTGAGGATGACAGCATTCGTCACATCGAGCCCGCCTTGGCCTTCCAGCTCGAACTCGGAAGACTGTCCAAGTTCAAGATCAAGCCTGTGTTCACCGAGAACAAGAACATCCACGTGTACGAGGCTGTTGGCAAGGGCGTCGAGACCGACAAGCGCTACTTCACTCGTGCAGTCATCAGGCCAGGTCGCCTCCGGGACGACATCCCTACGGCTGAGTACCTGATCTCGGAAGCGGACCGTGTCATCAACGACATCTTCGACGCCCTCGAGATTATCGGCAACAACAACTCGGATCTCAACCACATGTTCATCAACTTCACGCCCGTGTTCCAGCTTCAGCCCCAAGAGGTCGAGCACTCGCTGCAGGGTTTCCTGGATCGTTTCGGTGCTCGTGCCTGGCGCCTGCGTGTTGCTCAGGGTGAAATCCGCATCATCTGCACCGACCCCGTCACTGGCATGCCTTACCCGCTGCGTGTCATCATCACCAACACTTCCGGCTATGTCATCCAGGTCGAGATGTACGCTGAGCGCAAGTCGGAGAAGGGCGAATGGGTCTTCCACTCGATTCGCGGCCCCAACAAGACCGGCTCAATGCACTTGCTCCCGGTCTCGTCGCCGTATCCCACCAAGAACTGGCTCCAGCCCAAGCGCTACAAGGCCCATTTGATGGGCACCCAGTTTGTTTACGATTTCCCTGAGCTCTTCCGCCAGGCTATTCAGAACAGCTGGGCCAAGGCTGTCAAGAGGCACCCCCCTCTGGCGGAGAAACAGCCACCTGTTGGCGAGTGCATCGAGTTCAACGAGCTTGTGCTCGATGACCAGGACAACCTTGCCGAAGTGTCCCGCGATCCGGGCACCAACACTTGCGGTATGGTGGGCTGGCTCATCCAAGCGCGCACTCCCGAGTACCCCAAGGGCCGCAAGTTCATTGTTGTCGCCAACGACATCACCTTCAACATTGGTTCGTTCGGTCCCAAGGAAGACAACTTCTTCTTCAAGTGCACGGAGCTTGCCCGTAAGATGGGCATCCCTCGCATCTACCTGTCGGCCAACTCGGGTGCTCGTCTTGGCCTTGCCAACGAGCTGATGCCTCACTTCAACGTCGCCTGGAACGAGCCTGGCAAGCCCGAGGCAGGCTTCAAGTACCTCTACCTGACGAACGAGGCCAAGACTCGCTTCGAGAACGAGGTCATCACCGAGGAGGTCGTCGAGGATGGCGAGAAGCGCCACAAGATCACCACCATCGTTGGTGCTGAGGATGGTCTTGGGGTTGAGTGCTTGCGCGGCTCTGGTCTCATTGCTGGCGCCACCAGCAGGGCCTACAATGACATCTTCACCTGCACGCTTGTCACCTGCCGCTCGGTCGGTAAGTTGTTCCATTTCTCATCTGCCGACACGCATGCTAACTACCCACAGGTATCGGTGCTTACCTCGTACGTCTCGGTCAGCGTGCGGTCCAGATCGAGGGCCAGCCCATCATCCTCACTGGTGCCCCTGCCCTCAACAACCTGCTCGGTCGCGAGGTCTACACCTCCAACCTGCAGCTTGGTGGCACCCAGATCATGTACCGCAACGGCGTGTCGCACTTGACTGCCAATGATGACTTCGCCGGTGTGTCCAAGATCGTTGAGTGGATGTCCTTCGTCCCCGACAAGCGCAACAGCCCGGTGCCCATCAGCCCCAGTGTCGACAGCTGGGATCGCGATGTCAGCTACATGCCACCACAGAAGCAGCCCTATGACGTAAGATGGATGATCGCCGGCAAGGACGACGAGGACGGTTTCCAACCCGGTCTGTTTGACAAGGACTCTTTTGTCGAGACTCTCGGCGGATGGGCCCGCACCGTTGTCGTCGGTCGCGCACGTCTTGGTGGCATCCCCATGGGTGTTATTGGCGTCGAGACTCGCTCGGTTGAGAACATCACCCCTGCCGATCCTGCCAACCCCGACTCCATCGAACAGGTCAGCAACGAGGCTGGTGGTGTCTGGTACCCCAACTCCGCCTTCAAGACCGCCCAGGCCATCAACGACTTCAACCACGGTGAGCAGCTTCCGCTCATGATCCTCGCCAACTGGCGTGGTTTCTCGGGCGGCCAGCGCGACATGTACAATGAAGTGCTCAAGTACGGTTCTTACATCGTCGACGCCCTTGTCAAATTCGAGCAGCCTGTCTTCATCTACATTCCTCCCTTTGGCGAACTCCGTGGTGGTTCTTGGGTCGTTGTCGACCCCACCATCAACCCCACTGTCATGGAGATGTACGCCGACGTTGAGGCTCGCGGCGGTGTCTTGGAGCCTGAGGGTATCATCGGTATCAAGTACCGCAAGGACAAGCAGCTTGAGACCATGGCCCGTCTTGACCCGATCTACGCCGATCTCAAGAAGCAGATCACCAACACCAGCCTCTCCAAGGAGGAGATCGACTCGGTCAAGAAGCAGATGACGGCCCGCGAGCAGCAGCTTCTGCCCGTCTATGCCCAGATCAGCCTCCAGTTCGCCGATCTCCACGATCGTGCCGGACGTATGAAGGCCAAGGGCGTCATTCGCGAGGTCCTCGAGTGGAAGAATGCCCGCCGCTTCTTCTACTGGCGTGTGCGCAGAAGGTTGAACGAGGAGTACATCCTCCGCCGCATCGCAGCCTCAACCTCGGCTGCTGGTATCAATCACAAGGCTACCACGGCCACGTCCTCGCCCCAGAGCCGCACCCGCCACCTGCGACAGCTCGAGGCTTGGTGCAACATCCCGAACTTCGACAAGGCCGACCGGGAGGTTGGGATCTGGTACGAGGAGAACCGCAAGCTTGTTACCGACAAGATCGAGGCGCTCAAGGCGGACGCTATCACGGCCGAGATGCGCGACCTTATCCGGGCCGGCACGACGGCAAGCAAGGATCCAGCTGAGGGATCCGCATGGAAGGGCGTCCGCGAGATGCTGCGGGTGATGCCCGTGGACGAGAGAGAGAAGGTGCTGAAGTACCTCAAGCAGGTATAAGTTTGGGAGAGAGATATATATGGTGCAAAAGAGGAGGAAAAATGGGTTGGTGTTTGCTCAGGGTTCTCGGCATATACGATAGCTGGTTTGGAACAGGGCCGGGTTTTATGAGCTCTTGCAATGTGGGCTGAGCTGGGCATGGAATGGTTCGAGCTGCTTTAGAACATGTAGTTTTGCGGCGTTGGGATGACACGTTCACGATTGCGAGCGATTGCTCTACACATGTGTTGATAATCTGAGGCTAGAATAAGAGTACTTTTTACATTCATCATTCGTCTGGCTGCACCCTTGTGATCTGTTGTGATGTCTTGGCCTCTAGTGTTCATGCTCGCCAAAAATTCCGATTTTTGTCAGATAGATCCAAATGCCAGGCAAAAAGATGATCGAACCCAGGTTTGAACTGGGGACCTTCAGTGTGTTAGACTGACGTGATAACCAACTACACCATCCGACCAATCAATTGTTGGAGTGCAGGTGCGATAGGCCATTTTTGACGACGGGCCGCGCTGCCTCCCTCCTGGTGCTGGAGATCGTAGCTGTGGCTGCGGACCATAAACATTGCAAATTTCTCTGGTTCACGCGTGCAGGAAATAATATTCTCGGATTTTAACTTTGTTTCTAGCAGTCAGATCAGAACACATGTTCCCCGGGTCTTCTCCGGGGAGCAAAAACATCGGCACCCCACGGCCAGAAAAAAAGAACCAGACACCCCCTGTGCCCATTGATCATCTCTCCCGCCGGGAATTGAACCCGGGTCTCGAGCGAAGTCGACCCTGTGATGCGAATGTCATTCGCCGAATTAGTTTCGGGAAGTCCTCCATTCAGCATGCACCTTACACGAGGTAAACCACTCAAGAGGGGAATGATAGGGGGATTGACAAGCTCACATACTGACCACTATACTACGGAAGATGAGGTGGATGTTTGGAGCGTCCACAGTAGTTTTTGGGTGCAGAGGGGGTCGGGATCGGGGAATCGAACACGGGGCTTTTGCTGAGGACTCGAAGGGGATTCGAGAGCGTCAGTGTTGGCCGCTGTGCCATTTCTTTCCGATTTGTTGGGAGGGAAAGGGCGGAAGGGGGTTATGCGGAAGGGGGAGGAGTGAGGGGGTAAGGGGCAAGGAGGGGCGTGGAAAGGGGGGGCGCTCTGGTTGGGGGTCTGGAACGTTGTGGGGTTGGGGAAAATCTTGGTTGTGGGTTAGGGTTTTACCGCAAGAGGTGGAAATGCGGTTGGATTGGCCGAAGTTCGCCTACGATAGCGCAATTGGCCGGAGGGCCCCAGAGACGAACCTTTGCGGCTGATTCGTCTGATTCGTCGCGAACACTTGACGTTAGACAAGCTAGTCACACCGAGCCTCAGCTCGACGTTCTGCGTTCTTACCAACCTGGAAGTTGGAGGTGTTCCTGCCATTTCGCGCTTTGGGCAGGCTCTGGTTGGCCATTCCTTTGTGGGCCACCTCGGAGCCTGCTCCGCAACAGGTGGGTTCTCCGCTCTCAACACCCCCTCGACCCGCTCGCCTCTCAAACTCTCTCTCCACCATTTCTCCTTCACCATTTCACGTCCCACCCAGCGCCCGCACCGAAAAAGGAATCTCCCGGTTACCTCTGACATCAAATTACCAGCGTCAGTGGTTTAGTGGTAAAATCCATCGTTGCCATCGATGGGCCCCGCGTTCGATTCGCGGCTGACGCATCCGTGATGCCTTCAGGAATCACTATCGTCCGCTTGGCTCGGTGGTAGAGCGTGTCACTAGCAATGACAAGGTCGTCAATTCAATTCTGGCAGTGGGCAATATTCCTTTTTGCATCACACCTTGAGCCGCAGGGCCTGGTTGGCGACCATCATCCGGGAGAGAGTCACGATGAGGTTCGCCGGTTTGGTCAAGTGAGCCTCTTTTTCCTGCCCGAAGATCATCGGTTACCCATTCGCACTATCAGAGCTAATTTCTGCAGGGCGTTTGAGATGGCCAGTTGAGGCTCTTTCTGTTCGTTTGCTGCACAGAGGCAGATGCACGCAACCATCACATCGGCAGAAGACCGCGATGTTGGGAGTTGGTGGCGTCGCCATGTGAGGTGGCGTTTTTTGGCACACGCCATTCGCCAGGGTGGTTCCGATACAGCACGACGGTTACCTGCGTGGTGATCGAGAATACAAGTTCCTCCCCCGGCAAGATCCCCTATTCGCCCTAGCTGCTCGTCGTTGGTTGCTTATTCCTCCCACTTTTCCCCTTCCCCCAGCCCCGTGCCGCGGTGGCTGCCTCTCCAATCGGTCATCACCAGCACGCTCCCCCTGAGAGACAAGATGACTTGTCAGGCGGTAAAGCTGGGGTCTTTGAGTTTGCCAGGATGTGGGTGGTTCAGCTGGCCGGGGACGGGGGATGAGACGACGGAACCGGGGCTCTCAGCAGCCCCCACGACGGTCACCATGGAGTGAGTCTTCTTCGGCCCGGTAGCACAAGTTCATCTTGTTGGATCTAGCATCGTGTCCGGAGATCGGAACAGGCCTCGATGACCACATCACCCGAGCATTTTGATTATCTCTCGTCGAGTCCAGCTGATCGGTGATTCACGGGCGTGGACGACAGGAAAGCCGAGTTCGACTTATATAAGCTGGCCTTCTTCCTCTCCAACTCCAGGGACATCCAGAGCAGTTCTTAGGCCAGCGCGATTTGACCACGTCGACCTGCATCCAGCTATTCCTTGGCAACTTGAACCAAGCCTCGGCAGCGTCGCCAACATTCGCCATGTCCTCGTCGAAGGGTCACCGTCACTCCTCCTCCAGGAGCCACAAAGCCGCCAAGTCTTCCTCCGGGGGTTCGAGCAGCCGCGGCTCTGGGCACACAAGCTCAAAGTCCTCCGACAGTCAGTCTAGCGTCACTTGCGGAGTCGACATTTGCGTTCAGCCGCCGACTGTGGCTACCTACTCTACGGCTCTCTATCCCTCGATTGTGGCCAAGGCCACACTCAATGGTCTCCCGAGCGATCAGATTTCCTACCTGTTCGCCCACGCTGTCCTCATAGACGCTTCCGGCCTAGTTATGGATGACCAGCTCGGAGGAACCCCCGTCAGGACGGGTATTTTTATGGAGGCCAGCTATACAGGTGGTAGCGGATCCAGCAGGGGAGGCTCTGGCAGTGGCAGCGGATCTAGCCGCAGACAAGGCACTGAGCTCTACTTCATTTTCCCGGATCTTCATGTCCCGATGCTTGGCGATTTCCGGATCCGTATCAGCATTTACCACATGTTGGTTCAAAATACCACGATGGGCTGGGCCAACACGCGCAATATCAGCATCATTGAGGAGAGCTGCGCTCAGCAGTGGGGGTGTAAGTACACCTTCGCACCGCCCCCTTGTATTTCGTGCTAACAACCTGTAGCTCAAAACGAACGGTGGATCCTTCAATGCTTCCGCAACCAAGGAGGAGTGGCCATCCCCGACGAGCCGCAGCCAGATGATCAGCAGGCGTAAATTCCACTTGGTTCGACCTCAAGTTCCTCGTCCAGCGTCAGCACAACGCATGATTCCATTCTGTTAGGTTCACGGCATCATTTGGACGGAGCTGATCAAACGGCACACGGCTTTTGTGCCTCGGGGTTTCTTTGCATGTCTATTAGGATCGTTGCATATCACGGACCGGCGGAAACGGAGCAATGGGTCGGAAAACTTCCATTGGGACACGTTCACACATTGGAAACGGGTAATATCAGGTATCAGCTTCGGTCTTGCCTTGAGTTTTGCTTTTACTTTCGATTCTCTCTGAAACACCCATAATATCCCATCAATAGCTTTACTTTTTCAAAACCAAGTAGTTGAGCCTCAACATACAATACAATATCACTATTTTGGCTCCATAATCCAGTACACCCCTTTTCCTGTTCTACCAACCTTCCATTGCCGACCACCCCCTCTACGCAACAAAAACACCACCAAAGTCTCTCCTATCTCACCTCATGTTCACAGTGTGCAGCTTTCCCTTCCCCCACTCCCAGCGGCGGAACTGCACGCAACACCCCTGTCCGGCGGCTGCCAATCCTCGACGTCCACAGGCGCCACGGCGCAGGCGCACGCCAACTAAACAGCCACTGACGTAGCGGATAACTGACGTTGAACGGTTGCAAAAACCGGGCGCGTTTATCGTGTGGAAAATCAGTGCGCTGATTGGTGAATGGGTCGTCACATCGGCTGTCACTCAAGAAAGTAGGGGTCCTCTTCCTTTGGCATTGACACAACACTAGCGTAATACAGCACGCTTAATTATGACCTACTTGGATTTGGCATCGTGATGAACAGGAGGTCAGAACGCATGCCCAATCGATGGGGCGGGTCAGCCTCCCGGGTTGGGGGCTCAGATCGCGGCGTTGGTTACGCGCGTGGTATTGGTTGGAAGTGAGATCGGAGCTAGGTTGGGAGAGGGTTAGTGAGGAGCGTTCTGGGATGGTGGTTATGTCGATATGTAAGTTGTCGGGTCTCGGGTTGGGGGAGGTCACGATGACAGTGGATGGGTGGTTTCCGACTGGGCGGCTTTGAGAAGTTTGGGTGTCTACAGTGTGTGCTTTGTGATGTGATGGGATTGCATGCCACACCCCACGGACGTGAGCGGTTGGCATGTGGTTTGGGGGAGGAAGCAAAAAAGGAAAGGGAGGCTATCTCGACTGAGAGACAGATGCATCTGCCACTGGCCTTGTCATGGTTCGATTTTGTTTTCTTTTTTTTCTCCCTCTCCTTCCAGAAAGGTGAGACCGATGACCTGCCATGCGACGCGTCAACGGTGTAACCGGATTGTGCAGTTCAGCAGCGGAAATGGGCCCACAGAGAGACATTCCGCCGCCGCTGTCTCAGCCACTTGTCGACACGGCGTAGATCCCCCATGTGAGGCAGCTGTCGGGGAGAGAGAGAAGGAGGATGGAACGCATGGAGGTTTTCCGTCAAAGTGCTAATGACATACCTGGGGGCTTTTCTTGCGTAACGGTTCCCCAGGGGTGACGTCAATCCTAATTTTGGGGTATGGTCCCTGGACCGTCATCGTAACCAGATGGTGGAGGTAACCGGGGAGTGCCCGGATCGGGAGGATGGAGTTCCGTTCTTAAAGCGAAGCTGCCTTGAATGCGGATACGGGCTGAGAGTATCTCACTCGATTCACGGATTGTGGGGATGTCACGTCCGAATCGTGAGTTTCCTTGGTTGGGTGCAGCTTGTTCGGTGTCTCCTGAAAAAATGGTTCCTAATTCGGTTGCAACCGAGGAAAAAGCAACACTCGCATACATGGGTTGGCGTTAAACGTGACTCGGACTCGGAGGCGTCAGGAGGACTTTCGGCACGCCGTGCGACAATCAGCCACATGCAGTTGTTCTCAGGCCGTGCCGCTTACACCTCACCTGTACCGGTACTGCGGCACCGGACATTGACCACTCCTTTCTTCCGGACTCATGAATGCTTCGATGCTGGTAGGTTCGAGGGATCAAGGTTGGGTGTCGTGGGAGTACAGGACATGGTCTACATTTCCGAGAGGTCTCGGATCTTTGGATCCGGTCATGCCCTGCAGCCCTATCGATGCCCATTCCATCTCACCAAGACTGTCCTCGGAGACATTCAGATATCCGACAGGGACATGGTGTCTTGTCACACATCAAACCTCGCATCTTCAGTGTCCGGAACGTGAGGCTCTTGCAGTGATCGCCGTCGTCCAAGTCACTTGACTGACACCAAGACTTGTCTCTCCCGGTGTCCGGTCATTCACAATACTGACTGTTATTTCCCATCGTCATCCTCATCGACATCAATATCAGGGCAGCAGAAATTAGTCGCTCGCAAGTAGTCATAACAGAATGTGTAAGTGCTTGTTAAGATCAGAATAGGAGCAGAAAAAGGAGCAAGCCTAGCTCTCGCCTTCCGGCAGGACATCTTACAGTAC